GATCCACTTTGGACAGTATCCGGATGCGTTTGGTCAACGCAAGATCTATTACCAACAAAACTTTTATCCTCAGGGACTACTTTCAAGAGCATGATTTGGACTTTTTCTACATCACAGAGACTTGGATGTCTCCAGGTGAGTCCAGCGGCTTGATAGAATTATTGCCACCGAACTGTCTGTATTTTAATGCACCACGGCCATCGGGCCGGTGCGATGGTGGATTATTAACAATATTCAAACCAACTTTTGACTGTAAACAACTGCCCATCCCAGTTTCCCACGCCAGCTTTGAGCTGAGCGTCTTTGAACTGGGCCATTCCCCTTTGACGTTATGTGCGCTCGTCTACCGCCCACCTCAGTCTAAGGATTTCATAAATGAGTTTTCTGATTTCTTGGCTGAAATCACATCAAAATATAATCATGTTTTCATTATTGGGGACTTTAATTTGCATGTGTGCTGTCAGGAGAAACCCTTAGTTAAGGACTTTTTAGATTTATTGGGCTCATTTAATTTAACGCAGCATGTAAACGGTCCCACCCAAGAGCGTGGACATACACTGGACCTTGTTTTAACTCATCATATGACTGTTAATAATCTTGTTATTGGTGATAATGTTTTTTCAGACCACATGCCAGTCCAGTTTGAGTTCACCCTCCCCCATCTAACTCCTAAGCCGTGCATTCCTGCACGTAGTAGCCGGGCCATTAACCATTTTACTACCGCACATTTCACAGATGCTTATAACTCTGAAATGATAATTCAGCCCCTGGTGTTTCTCATCACTACTGAGAAACTGACATCCCAGTTCAACTCTGTCGGCTTAAAGACTCTAGATCATGTCGCTCCGGTTAAAACTAGAAAAATCAAAACTCAGAGCAGAACCTTGGCTGAGTGACGTCACCAAGGCCTCTAGGCAGCAATGTAGGAGGGCGGAGCGCAAATGGAGGAAAGACAGGCTGCGGGTCTCTTTTCAAATACTTAAAGAGAGTTGGCGCCGTTATCAGAAAGCAGTAAAAGCTGCTAATTCCAAATACTTTACTGATATATTTACCTCAAACTCTCACAACCCACGTGTCCTCTTCTCTACCCTAAACTCTGTTCTCCACCTCACTGAACCATCACCTCTGGAAGCCTCGACTGAGCTGTGCGACAACTTCTTACATTTCGTTTTGGAAAAAAATTGCGACCACCAGGTCTCTCATTTCCCCTCCAACTCATGACCCATCCATCCCACCTCAATCAGTAGCTCTATTTGACCATTTTGAACCCATCACTCTATTTTCTCTAGAGCAGGTCATGTGTAGCTTGAAACCTTCTGGTTCCCCCTTTGATGTGGTCCCCCCTCGACTACTAAAAGAGGTTTTTCCTACTTTAGGTCCATCCATTCTGGCAATAGTAAACAATAGTTTATCCACTGGTGTGGTGCCAAAAACCTTTAAGCATGCTGCTGTCCAGCCTCTCCTGTAAAAACCAAACCATGACCCCTCAGTCGTTTTCAACTTAAGGCCTGTCTCCAGACTCCCATTTATTTCTAAACTACTGGAGAAAATAGTTGAGTCCCAGTTGAAGTCCTTCCTGGAGGATCACGCCATCTTAGAGCTATTCCAATCTGGCTTTAAACCTCTCCACAGCACTGAAACTGCCCTGCTGAAGGTCTTTAACGACATCTTCAGATTCACAGATACCGGTGATTCTGTGCTGCTTGTCCTGTTGGACCTCACAGCCGCCTTTGACACCATCGACCATGAGATCCTCATTGCTAGGTTGGAGCAGTGGGTGGGCATCACAGGGTCAGCCCTCAATTGGTTCAGATCCTACCTCGCTGACAGATCCTTTTGTGTCTCCATCAAGGATTTTAGTTCTGCAGCGACAGAGCTTAAATGGGGGGTTCCACAGGGGTCCATCCTGGGTCCCCTCCTATTCTCTCTATACCTGCTGCCACTTGGTGCTATTTTCCGGACACACAACATACCCCTTCACTTCTACGCTGACGACTGTCAAATTTACTTCCCCCTAAGACACAATGGTACATGCTCTATTCAACCTCTGCTCGACTGCCTGGCTGACATCAGGGACTGGATGGCTTTAAACTTCTTAAGTTTCAATGAAACGAAGTCTGACATCATGCTGTCCCCTCCCATTGACACAATCACAAACCACTGCATCGACTTTTCCACTCTAACCCAGTCAGAAAAACAAAGAGTCACTAATCTGGGAGTGATAATGGACCCTTCCCTGAAACTTAACAATCATGTAAACATGATTGTTAAATCATGTTTCTTCCAACTGAGGCGGCTGTCTAAACTGAAGCCCATATTGTCCAAAAATAACCTGGAGACAGTAATACATGCATTCATTACATCTAGGCTTGATTACTGCAATTCACTCCTGTTTGGTTTCAGTCAGACCTCCATTGCACGACTACAACTGGTCCAGAATGCAGCAGCCCGATTTTTAACCAGTACAGGCAAAAGAGAGCACATTACACAAGTTTTGGCCTCACTGCACTGGTTACCGGTTCACCTTCGAATCCAGTTCAAAATACTCCTGTATGTTTACAAATCACTGAACAGTT